GGGGATCGAACCCGAGTTTCTCACGTACTGTGAGACTTACAGCGAGCGCTAACCATCTGAGCTACCACGGCGCTACCGTAACAAACTTGTGTCTGATGTCAATTCTTTGCTGAACAAAGTCTGGGATTAAGGGCGGCTAAATCTAGTCCAGTTCAATCCCCAGAAGACACAAATTTGCACGTATACCGCTAAAAAGAACCCCTGTGTCGTATCTCCTCAGTTTTAAGGCACTCCCTCACTGCTTCAACTAGCATCGGCATCCTCGGCGTCGACATATTGAATAGTGTGCAGTTTTGGGGTCACTTGGAAGGCAATGACAAATTGGCCTATAAAAAGCTTGGCGTGCTCAGCAGAGCGAGGCAGTATTTCATGTCGGCACATCGCTTGCAACTTTACAAAGCGCAAATTCGGCCTCTCATCTCTGTGACGGGGCACGCCAGTGTCAGCTCCTTCCACTTGACCGCATCCAGCGCATAGCGGTTCGAGTCGTCGACGTCCGAATTCTTTCTGATCGGCTCGATTGACTGGCACTGCGTAGGGATGTTGCATCTCTGTGCATTTTCTATCGAATTTACCACGGGGAGTGCTCTGAGGAATTGTTCGGTTTAATTCCAGCCGCCAAATTTCAGGAACGCACATCGTGTCAAAATTCACGATATTGTGACCTCACCATGTGGATGTTTGACGGGCCACCACTATGCGTTTTACTAGGAGTTTTCTTTCGCACAACTTCTCTGTGGAATTGTTAACCATCGGCGATTTTCCCGGGCCGATACGACTTAGGGACCTTCAAGAAAAGAGCTCACTCCTTTCTTAAAGGCTGGCAACGCACCTGCAATTCCCCTGGTGTTGCGGTTGTTCATGGGTGGCAGTAGTCACCATCACGTGTCCCGCATGCTCGTTTGCCCCCTTTTCTATAAGAAAACGTACGACGAGAAAGCCCAAAAATCTAAGTGCTTGATTTAGGGCTCAATACGACTATCACGGTGGTTTCTAGAACACTCATTATACCCAAATTAATCCAATAACGGTACTTGGCACGACCTGGGACACGATTTAAGCCCAGGACCAAATCATAATTCACAGTCGCGCTAGTAACCACATACAGACAGACCAAATTATATACTTTCATGATATGTATTTAGTAAAAATCTGTTATTTTGACGTTATGAACAGACACTTCAATTTTATTTATTTGAATAGTTTCGTATTCGTAAAGAATGAAAGTTTGTAAAAAATTCGAAAGTGATTACTATATTATTTTGATCTTTAGGCGTCAGAAAATTTGGCTGCACTTTTAATAATTCTCTTTTATAATTCAATACATGATCGTAGATATCAGTGTGATTTATACTGATGATCTAGTTAATTGGGAGTTATTAATAATTACTTTAAATGAAAGACAGGATTTTTTAGTGTATGTATTTGTTTACAGTCGACAGCAAAGTATAGCCGAATTTAATCAAAATGATTCGTTAGATTCAAATTATTCTTCTTTATTAATTTCAGTATCAGTTAATTTAATTTCGTCTATGTGATTACCTTGCACTCTATTTAGAAAAGCTAATATTTTTATTAGCATCTTGTACGCACAACATGATAACATTTGCTCCAATTCCTCATTAATGAGATGTGAAAAATGGTAATTTCTTTTGTTAGAATTCTCTGAATATAACAAATAATTTTTATCGTGTTTAGACATGACTCCTAGTTAAAATTTACACCTCAGAAGTGGTCATTGTTAATTTTGCAAAGACGGAGATAGAGGTTGGTCGTAATTAGGAGCTTCTGAATTTAAAAAAAAATCTGGTAATCTGCCTCACTTTAGTCCTAAAAAGAACAAAAATACTATAACATATAATTTCATAAACTTTTAAAAATATTGTGTTCTGTTAAGAAAGTTCATCATTTATTGCGATATATTACTAAAACTAATGACATTGAAATAAAGATGCATAGCGTAATTTTAATAGAAAACGTTAAATATAGTTAAAGTCAATTTAAATATATAACGTCAAATTAAACTTGATATCGAAACTTAATTTTAAAGTGAAGATAACGCATAATTAATTGAAACAGAACTTACATCTGTTATTTATAATACGAACGTTGCTGAAAGATAAAAAAATATGAGGGAGTACGTCACAAGTCGCGTTGATGCAATGAATATATCGTGCATGTGTCTAAAAACCTCGGGAATTAAACAGAGGCAGCCGTACAAAGATGGGTGCAAGGGGGTAAGGGAGAGGGGGACATTACAAAACTTGGCTTTAACCGGTTAATTCTTACTACCTAAACCGAAATTTGTGAAAACCGGTATTCCGCAAAAACCGGTTTTAGGGTCAATGACCGAAACCGGTTTAGAATTTCAACCGGTTTCCGAGCCCTGCTTGAAGGCTATTAACGCACAACTGCAACCAACTTCAAACAAAAACCACAAATGTATCACCCTGAGGATAGAGTCAAATGAATAAAAATTACCTTCAACATAACGATACGAATTAGGAGCCTTTAAGAAGAGCGCCTATTCTTTTTTAAAAGGCTGGTAACGCACCTGCAATTCTCCTGGTGTTGCAGTTGTACATGGGCGTCAGTAGACACTTACTATCAGGTGAACCGCATGCTCGTTTGTCCCCTATAATATAAAAAATACAGGTATGTGACGTTCTACTGGGCGTAGTAGTATACAGTGTTTTCGCCGTGTCTTGTCTGAAACGTTCATAGTATGAGCACTGTTTAAAGACCTTACAGTTGGGAAACGAATGGAAATGTACTTGTGTATAACAACTGTGGGGGTACTGCGGGGCAGGAGGCTGGCCGACCTTGTGCTATCGCACTTCACTGAGTCTATCAGACAATACTTATATATTACTATAGATACTCTTTATGACAAACATACAGTTGGGGCGAGCTTGTTTTATAATACTTATTTAACTCATTTTAAGTGCAGTTTTCGAAAATAGAAATCTAGAATAGTGAATTACTGTTATAGTTATTTAAATTATTGAGTAAAATTGAATTCAAATGACGGCCATGCTCGTTTCGCTCATTTATTTTTGTTGATAATTTATAATGGAGTAATAACTTTATAATAGACTAATCATAATACCTATATTAATTAGGAACGAGTTAGCAGACCAACTAATAACAAAGCGGTTATTGTATGCCGTTTTGTATTGACTCCTGCACCTAAATTACTAAGTAAAATCCAGCAGCTATCCAGTTTTCTGAAGTAAAAAAACGATGGATAACTCACACCACACTTATTATGTACCTTAAATAAAGCACTAATTTCACCGTTTATAATGGTGTCTAGAATCAACATTAAATGCAGTGGAATTGGATATAAAATACACAAGAAAATACAGTTTTTGTATAAATTTAAATTTATTTTACAAATACCTACATCAATTCACAATTTTACATCCTTCTTCAAATGATGTATTACTACTTCTGTATTTCTTTAATTATTTGAAGTACAATTTTCAGTGTAACAAATAGAAACGGTATGCATAAAAATATGTTCAATTTATTCTTCATGTTGAATAGATAAATTGTAAAGAATAAAATTTTAGTTAATAACAGTCGCAAAATTATTAAAATTGGTGGGTTATTTGTCATTTTAGCAATGAAATAGAAACCAATAGTCTTTGTTCATGTGAACTATTTAATGTTTCGATGTAAATAAAAAGTGCAAGCATTTGCTTGTTAGAATACCTGCGTCTTGCTACTTTATCGATATGCCCAAAAATATATATAATTAACAAGATAAAAATGTTTATACATTATGTTCAAATTGAACCACATACAACATGTAACAAAAACCCTGAGGTTCCGAATAAGTGCGCTATCAAAATAAAGTAAAAAAAAGTATTCAAACCTATGGAAATAACTTTACTTCAGAAAACTCGACCTTACAAAAAAATTAAATAATTCTTTATTTATAAAATTGTATGTGGCGTGTGGATTCTGATAACGCACTCACTTACGAGAACCACAGGGTTTTTGTTACGTTTGAACTTTGCTATATCCGACATGTTCTTCAGGATCTAATGAGATTTAATTACAAATTATGTTTATAGCTGTCAAATTTAGAAAATCATTCTAGTATAATTTCTGTAGAAAACCTTTAGTAATAATTTGCAGAGGTAGTTTCGAACCTAGAGTGAAAATTTTGCCGCCAAAAGCCAAGCCAGCATCTCAATAACGATTTTGGAGGATTTTTTAACCAAAGGTATATTAACAAATATATTACATTGGTGTCCAGAATTAAACTACAAATCTTTTTAATTTAAAAAATTTGGACAGTTCCAGTACATTACTGTACAGATTCATTGTAGCAAGTTGAATACAGTCCCAAATTAAAATATATCATTAAAGATTATTAAATAATCTGGGATAAGTTCAAACGTGCGTTTGAGTTAAATACCGAACTGGTGAAGGTGAAGTTTTGATTTATTTTTGTCAATTATCCATACGCATTTACAATAGACAAAATATTTACGTGACATACAATAATTGGACTTATTATACGGTTGGTAATGTCTTTTTATCATTTCTTGTAAATACACTCGCAAAGAGTATATTATAATGACTATGTTTTAATGCACTCCATTGAATGAAGCTAATTTTACTGATTTTACAGCAAATCACAGACACCGAACAAAAAGTAATTATAAAAAAGTGACATTAGATTCAATTACTGATTTAGAGTAGGCCGACAGAGGTTTTTGATTTCAGCCCTTCCCTAAAACTGGCTGAAGAATAGTACGCAGAATATAATAACAAGATTTTGTTGAATTAGAGTGCAAAATTTACATATTTTTAAGCACTTTTTTATTGTCAAAAAAGTGTTCGGTGCGTCCATTTTACGGTACCCTGTCTAACACCTGTCTTTTAGGTATGGTGCTGCGGAGTTCAAAGTAAATTAAATTGAACGCTATAAAATCCGTAAAACAATTTTTATTGAAAGTACATTATGTGTTTTGTGTTAGTTGAGCTCAGAACTTGAGCGAGAAGCCGGGCGCGACGTTGAGGGAGCGCGCGTGCAGCTGGAAGCCGAGCGCCTCGTCGGAGTCAGCGCGCGCGTACTGCGCGTACGCGGCGCCGCCGGCGGGCGGCCGCGGGCTGTGCGTCGTGCGCCGGTTGCCCTCCGACTTGGCCGGCCACGTGGGGAACATCGCCGGCTCGATCGCCACGGGTTGCTCCTGACAAAATTACACATTCCACATTATTTGTTATATTAAAAAAAAAGTTAGTCCACACAAGGAGTTTTTATTGTATAGTGAAGTTAGGAGTGGTTTTTTATACATAAATTGCGCAGTGACACTGTCATTGATATACTACATCCTTTAATTTGAATTTTTCGATTTAGTGGCATCTTAAAATCGATAATCCATTATCAGGTAAATTAGATTATTAGTATATAATTGTAAATACATATTATACAGTACTTATAACAAAAACAATTTTTTAAATATTTGTCTGTTTGTCTCCGAAATGGCTGGACCGATTTTGACGGGACTTTCACTGGCAGGTAGCTGATGTTATAAGGAGTAATTTAGGCTACTTCTATTTTAGAAAAAGAATTAGGGTTCCGCGCAAAAAATATAAAAACTATGGTATTAAATTCGAGGCGAAGTCGCGGGCGAACAGATACTTTCACTATAAAATTTAAAACTATAATGTAATGACACACTATATTCTAATACAATTTCTATAAAAAAATTGTTTTGAAAACTAAAAAATATTTCAATTTTGTTACCTTGAAATAGGCGTGTTCAAGAGCAGCTTCGGCAGTCAATCTTCGAGCTGGATTGTAAGTTAGAAATCCTTGAAGAAGTGAGAGGCCTGTATCAGAAAGTAGGTCAGATCCGATGCGTTGCCGAAGTCCACCTGGTGGATGTTCAGCGAATGTCATCTTTTGTACTGCTGGTAGCTCATTATAGCCTGGCCACAACAATTCGGACGGGGTACCAAGGTCCTATAAGAAAGAATGTAACGATTTTTAGAAAATTTCAGGAAATATATGCATGCAATAATGATTTCTTATATCTAAGCTAAGCACTAAGCGCCCGCTATAAATTTTACAGTACGCGAGCGAGGTTTCAATCCCCACAGACACCAATGAAATTGTTAATTGCAATTTTAAGTGCTGATTTACCACGTGCCCTGCGTTGAAGGAAAACTTTGTGACGAAACCGGCGTGTCTGAGAAATAAGAAAAAAATATTTCGAAGACGTGAAGTCCGCCAACACGCATAGGGGCAGCGCGGCGGACACTTCTTTAGAAATGAAAGGAGGCCTGTACCCAGTAGTGGGACGTATATAAACTGTAACTTTAACATTAACACTACATTAAATGAAATAATTTCTTTTACGTTTTTTAGTGTTTAATCAACTTATATTCCCGACATTTAGAGTTCTTTGCGGCACCCATGATTACGCCGTAAGTCACAAAGTTCTCAAAATGTCGAGAATACAAAATAATTTGATTACAATAAAATGCGTAAAAAAATAAGTTTAATTCAATATATTATACAATTATTTAAGAATGATTGTTTTACCTTAAATATTCTATTCAATTGATCCACTTCTGATTTCCCCGGGAACAATGGATTCATTGTGATAAATTCGGCAAATATGCAACCAACACTCCACATATCAATAGGAGTAGAATATTCTTTGCAGCAAAGTAGAAGCTCTGGGGCTCGATACCATAGAGTAACTACGATAGGAGTGTACTGGCGAAGTGGTGAGCCGTATTCTCTGGCTAGACCGAAGTCTCCCACCTACAATGATATTTAAAATTATTATAAATACGAAAAATGTGATATTATATTTACTTATATTTACATTACACTATTTGAACATAAAGGAGAATAATAATTTTTACCTTCAAAACACCTTTATGCGAAAGTAAGAGATTGCTTGTTTTTAGATCTCTGTGCAATATCCAATTGTCGTGAAGATGATGCACAGCCTTTAACAACTGCGTCATGAGGCACTTAATTTCTCCTGGAAAAAATCAAAATGAATTTAAGATACTATAAAAAATAAAATGAAAGTCTGCATTACCCGAATAAATATAAATTTGAGACCATAATCATGTTCAACAATGTTAAACCAGAATTTACCTACTGTAAAGCATTATAAATTTAAGTACTTAGTAAGTATTTGTAAGGGACCAAATCAGAATAGAATATAACACTATGTAGTTAGGACTGTCCTGTTAGTTAGAACAAACCACGGCCATAAAGAGAAAAAAAAAACAATTCACGGTCAAAGCTTACGAATACATTATGAATGAGCCAAAATAAATAAGAGTTATTTTATTAAGTATGGTACTTCGGCTTTTTTATCAGGAAATGGTCTAATATCACTAAATATTCATTAACTAACTAGATAAAACAATTATTATTTACTAAAAAACCTGTCAATGAACAAAGCTATATTTGCTGGATAAGTCTTAAATGTCATTATCTGCTTGTATAAATTATTAGATTGTACATTCAAATTAATCTTGACTTCTAAGACATACTACTTCACAACTGCTCATCATGTGTGTGTAATCATCTAAGTAAAATAATCTTAGTAAAAAAGCTGGTAACTCGCATATGTATTCCATTACACTAATTTTTGGAAGAAACACTAAAAAGAATCAATAAAACTTCTTACCAGGTAGGAATACTTGTTTCTTCCCCCTCATCGTTTCCATAAGACTCTTCAGGTCATGCTCCACATAGTCCATGACGATGAAAATTTTATCCATATTAGAACCGACGACAATCTCCCTGACGGTCACGATGTTCGGATGCTGGCCCTGCAACAAACAAATACATTGTGCGTCCTGTTAGTTAAAAGCGTGTCTTAAACACGCAGAAAATAAACCCATATCGCCCCGCGTTACGGACAGTGGAGAAAGAGTATAGACGACCGTTGCAGAGCAGCGCGTTCAAGATCCGAGATGTTTGGTACTGCGACTGCCAATCTGTTTGCCAAGCCGGCAAACAAATTCCGGCAAATCCAACCTATAATGGGATAGACCCATTTTAAGCTATAGACCAGGGGTTCCCAAACTTTTAAAGTAATGGAACACTCACCAAATCCCTGTTATTTTATGGAACCCCATATCAAATAATTACATTTCATTCATTCATTCAACAGTGCAAATGAAACATTATAATAATATAATTTTCGATAACTACCTACGTACCTACATAGCATTAATGGGTTCTTCTCTTTACAAATTCTATGCTATTTCAAAAATAATTTTTGTGCTTAACTGTGAATTATTTAACAAGCAAAAATAAATTCGCAGAATCCCGGTGACATTTCCAAGGGACCCTTAGATTCCGCGGAACCTACTTTAAGAATCTCTGCAGATAGTAAACTTAAACGTACTTAAAATTATTGTGATAGAGGTAGTGCGGCCGCCTACAATTTTCTGATATTCTGGCAACTTTAAGAGTTAGTGCCCCAACGCCAGCACCAGTTTAAATTACAATTATAAGTGTTGATCTACCATGTGCTTGGTAGTAATAGAAAACATTTCGCGTAAACTTGCATATAAAAGACAAAATATGTTTCTAGGACTTGGGAAATCCGATAGAAACGTATTCTTGAGTACCCTAATTCTTCACACTACCCAGTTTTACTTTATTATAAAAAATAGAATAAGATCGCTTCTTATAAAACAGAAGTCACACAAAAGCATTACTCTCGGTATTAGTAGTTATTCAAAAATATACTCAAATATAGTAAATAAAATTTACCCTGTATCGTGGAATCGTTTTATATAGACAAATTCACATCGATAATCATCCAAACCCGGAAAAATGTTATTTTTACTTTACTTACTTATGTACTTATTATATACCACTGCGCTAATAAACTGTCACGAAGTATAATAAATAGAGTGCATTATTTAAATGTGCTTTATTGGTTTATTTAAAAATATTAACTGACTTCAGTTATGATCGGATCTGCTTGAAATGTAAATATATTGTAATATATTTTGAAAATATAATTTTTCTATAAAAATAAATTAACATGATCTAAGATTGTACTATAGTAGTAGTATAATACAGTATTGCGTTACACATTGAATAAAAGAATTAAATACAGTCGAATTGACAAACATCCTCCAGAGAACAGATCCAGATAACAATATTTTTTGTCGGTTAAAAATACATACTAGATCTAAAAACTGCTGGATGATGCTTTTTTTCTTCAGCTTATTTATATCCACTGTTATACCACAGTCTAACTACTACTAACAGTCCGTCATCGAAGCCTTCTAGACAGGGCAATCGTGTGGTGCGGTGCGGGGCTAGACGCGAGCGGAGCGCTCCCGAGTGGCCGTCAGTCGCTCGGGAGCTGTCCGCTAGAGTTGATATAATCTTAATGACGCAATTATGTGTGTATTCTATCAACTTGAATGTTGTGTGTCAACTTGTGTCTATTCAACTTGAAACTTACATTCAACATGTATTTAAATAAAAATATATACTTAGTGTTAAATAAGTTGTTATTACTCAAAGATACGTTATAAACTGCTTACATTGTATTCGACAGTTGACTGTTTTATAATTTTTTTAGTAACTGCTTATTATAACCTATTTTTATTATTTTTGAATAATAACTATCTGTAAGTTATTTAATTTGTTTAAACGTGAAATAAAATAAAATCATATTTTTATTTCTTCCCGCTCTGACAACCCTAGCAACTTATTGTTTATGTCGGCTTTTCCGACAACATCAAACGCGACTGTATGTTCTTCTTAGGCTGTGATTATACATTGGGTTAAGAATACGAGACTTTTGAAAAAGTTGCTAATATTTAACTAACTAACGGAACAGGTGGATTGATAAATGGATTAAAGATGTTTATTTTTTAATAAGGGCTTATTATGGACACCACATTATAATGATAATGAAATTAAATTATTAATGATGTCCTTTAGACCTAATTTCGGTCACGCCATCTTAGAACACATGCATTCTCTATTCCTTCGCTCTCATAGTCTGATGAGACGATAATCAGACATGGCCAGATAAATCAAGCCACAGAACCAATGGCTTTACATTCTTTCCGACTTCGATCTGCTACTGAGAAATCCTTTATAAAAAAACCCAATAACTGATTTTAGCCTGACCAAGGATTGGAACCCAGGACCACATGAATCAGAAAACGAGGCAGTCGATCTTTAAATTACAATATTGGTAGCAAAGTACTAATATAGCAAGTACCTATTTCGTCTTGAAAATACACAACATTGTTAAGTGTATAACGAACATACATGAATAAAAAAAACAAACTGAAGAAATATTTGCATGGCAAATTCTCCCGGTGCAAAACTACAAATTATTTTTAATTAATTAGCTCAAAAATTTGTGAACTGCAATCTTAACGTACGTGAACGGCGTTAAATCCCTTTTGCAAAAGAAATCACACATAATATAATATACAAATTTTGCTCGCTATAAATTCTCTCGATTATACAATATGGTTTGTAGCGAGTAAAATTGCATACACATTGCTATATATGTGTGTGCAATTTTACTCGCATGCAATAGACCTCAATAGTTCCATGTCTACTACTACAACTTTGTACTATATATGATTAACGACTTTTAAATAAATAACAAAAATACATAATGGCCGTTTTAAACATCATCAGGTCATAAAATGTAGAAAAGTAAACTTTAATATTAACGTGACTTATTTTGTAAGAGTAAATTTGAATTTTTAATAGTTTTTGCCATATTATGTACAAATATACCGTTTACATAATATAATATCTACTTATAAGATTTTATATGAAAAATACCATTTTCAAATCTGATGACGAGCCATTGTAATAATTCAGTAGCACTAATATTAGAATAGAATAACGCTTATAGTTAATTATGGCAAATATATTTCAATACAGAAAGGTATCGACGAGTATATAAGCATATTCACTAAAATTTAACCTCTTAGTTAGATATATCATTTTACAAAGATTCCTTTTTGCTTTTTATTATTATAAGCCCGTAAATAGACATTGTCATGTAAAAGCGACTTTAGAGAATCCATCGCCTAATCTTTTTTCCGTCGGCATCGCAAGAGTACTGCGTTTCTCTTTATGATGAATACGAAATACCAATTGTTAATCTTCTTTTTGCAGCTATGATAATGCTTTACCGTAATCTATAGAAAATAAATAAAAATACGTTTGTTTTTTACTCTTCCAATGAATATTAAAAAAGTTTTTATAAAAACAGTTACAGGCTTTCCACACCACAAAAAAGCTATCAAAATCTATAACAGATAATTAATTGAAAACTGTAGTGTGAAATACCTAATAATTTTCTTATAATAATTCTATAAGTAATTTTATTTATATTAGTAAAATATAAACTTTGACAATATTCTCTGAGAAAGCGATGCAAGTATGTTAAAGTTAATGCATAATTATTACACCACAATAATTATGTGTAAAATAAAATAGCTACTTTACACGCTGAACAAAATGACATCCAAAATTGATCCTAGCGAGCATTGATGACACACATTTACTAATTTATAACCGTCTCTATGTGAGAGATGCAACAGAAATATTCAGGACTGGCTTGATATGATAAAGTACATTATAAGAAACCATTCAATAGTTGCAAATGCATAAAACTAAATCAATATTTTTTTTTTATTGTTAAGTGCTTAATGGCACTGGAACAAAAACTCTGTCTCGTATATGAATTCTTACTGAATAATGAATATAATATAATATATAAAGTAGCAGTGCTTTAGTAAATAAATAAAATACATAAATTATTGTCATTAAATTATTCATGTAGATGTCACAAAATTATCATATTCTTTAAAATGTACATTTTATGTATTTGTGTTATAATTTTATAAGTTATTTTTTTTAAATTTTGAATATTCTGCATGATCGTCTTTGCATGTTAAAGTCTATGGCAAGGTGGATGCCGAGGATGCTCACACCGCACCAAGCAACGACGCGCAGCGAGTTGCCGCGAAATTTGTAGCCAGAATAAGGATGAAGTACATATTGGGTTAGATTATTATTATTATTTAAGAGATTTGGATTTTTTGAGAACAGTAGCAATGTTATGTGTTAGTTAATGATTTTTGCGAGGTTTAAAGTATCTATTTTATTTAAAAGAAATTGGTATTGACGGATTTCACATCCGTATTCTCGAATATGTATTTCGTCTTTTTACAACATAATTTTACATTTTAGTCGCCGGTGAGGACCTCACATAATTTAAAGTGTAGATAGTATAAATGGATAATAGCCGATTTTTGAGACAGGAGATTCTGTTTATTTATACTCCGACTAAATTTTCAGCCCCTGTAAGAACGGCCTATGGTTATTAGTTAATATGTTATTTACTAAGGCTGAAAAAGTATAAGGTAATTTGTTAAGTTTTAAATTTTGTTTGTAATTAATTACCAGGTTCAATTCGACTCCCAAGAGTATTCACAAATTGATAAGCAATTAAGTAATATTTATTTCTTGCTTATCTCTTATATTTAATACAATGGAATATATTACTTTATAATATTTATTTTTTACTTTTTATTGGTTCACCTAGTCGCCTCTTACGACACCCATTCCCCACGGGATGATATGGGGATATTCTAATAAATCCGTTCCATTGTTAATTTTTGAAAAGTAATATTTCAAAATACTTGAACGAGACAGAGTTTTTAGTTGACCAACTTCCTAGAAAAATAAATTAAGAAATAATGTAAATACCTTCTCATCTCATCAGATATTAACTATATTTCATAAGAACACTATGACAAAA